CGCCGGCGCATCTGTGTGAGGTCTTCTCCACGCCTGAAGGGCTCCCGGGGTGGAGACAGGACGCGGGACCAGACGCGCGCTATCTCCCTGTCTGCAGAGCATTCGGGGCCGTGAATGGTGGGAGCCGAACCTTCCGCGATTTCCACTGGCGCTCTCCCTGGAGGTGAGCTGCGCTGGTGGTTTCTTCACAAGAAAGAGCGACCTACGCCTGCTGTCCCCAGACTCCACGAGCAGCTTTCTCAAACCCGGTGCAGACAGCGGGAGCGCCCTCAGATGGGGTCTGCTGTCTCCTGAGCTGCTGTTGGCAGCACTCAGATGAAGGAAGGAGAATTACTCCAACTAGAAGCGGGGCCCTGCAGCAGCCTGGAATATTTAGCAACATTGGCCATATTTTGATAGAGCCAACTAGATCCATGTGCTCGTGAGGGGCACACCCTGCCTTTCAAGATCTTTTTCCTGACCTGGGGCAAGTCAACTTTAGTTGTGAGGTGTAAATGTGATGAAAGATGTGGAAACAACTTGAACACCGCGATGAATGTTTGTAGAATGATAGACGGGGGTTAAAATAGAACAGAACCCGGTGATGAAATGCATTTGAAATGAGGCAAAGCAACCCTTTCCAGAAATTCCAAGATTCCTAGCCTCATTTTGTGAGATTTTTCCATATAATCAACCACTCCAATGTTAATCAATTGCAGTTTATTACCAAAGCAGGGAGCTAAATTGTGATGTGAACATAAAGATGAATCAAGGAAGTCTGACCTCATCTAATTTCTCCTTAGTCTTTCCAGCACTTCCAATTTGTCTCCAACCGTCAAAAACTGATGAGTTGAGTGTGCCAAACTTCCACTAAAATATGGATTCTTCATTTTACAATTTACTTTCCTTTTAGTCTCCTCCTCTCCGTGTTTGCCCTCATCCTTTCATCTTTTAAGACATGTACTCACTTATTCTGTCATGCAACAGCAACAGCAAAAATTATACAGGTGTCCTGAGGGTCCATCGTGCACTGTTATTGTGGGAGCAAACAGAAAAAGACCACCACTGGCCGGGAAGCATCCTACCAGTTTAAAAGTTACACAAGCAATGCGTAATTACAAAGATAATGATTTGTCTAAAGGAAAGATAAAAGGTATTATTGGAAATGTGAAAAAGGCAACTAATATAGTTTGTGATATCAGGGAAGAATTCTTTGAGGAAGTCTTAATTAAGGCTTCCTCTGTCTTCTTCCTCAAGCAGGTCCTGACATGTGGAGTTGGTGTACGTAGCTTGGGAGGCTGATCGTAAGAAACTGGATGAGTGAGACACAGAAAGAGGGCAATCTAAAGAATGATGTGTTGGTGAGCTGGGCTCTCCTGGGAACACCTAGAGTTGAACGCCACTGGGGACCCTCTGGAAGGAATAGCATGGAATGGACCTCAGCTAACTCCCCCATGATTAAGGATTGCTCCCCAACTCCCCTGACACCCCCCCCAGCATCTCCCATAGCTTCAAAAAAAAACCCCAAGGCCACCCAACAGAGTCTGAAGGAAGCAGGTGAGTATACAACCAAGGCTGCAGCCGAGATGGCACATGCCAGAGCCCTGATGGGAAATGAGATTCAGAAAAGGGTTCCAAGTGGGAGGAAGTGCAGGCTTAGAGACCCAGAGAAGCAGAAGGACTCAGTGGGTTTTGTTTTAACTGATTGGTCAAATCAACCAAAACTGAAGGAGCAAGTGAGAGCAGCATGCATATGGCTGAGAGGCAGTCCAGGTCTTCTGGAACATTTTCAGGGCTTTGAATTGACATTTGATGTAGGATTGAGCAGGGTAATATGATTTTCTTCATAGACAGTCATGCCATTTATGGACAAAACTTCATTTCTCCCTTTCCTGTCTGTATGCCTTTTATTTCCTTTTCCTGTCTTATCACAGGCTACAATTTCCAGCACAATGTTGAAAAGCAGTGGTGGGAGAGGGCAACCTTGCCTTGTTTCCAATCTTAGTTATTCATCATTAACCATGTTAGCTATAGGGTTTTTGTAGATGTTCTTTATCAGGTTGAAGATTTTGTCCTCTATTTATAGTTGGCCGAAAGGTGGGGGTTTTTTTGTTTTGTTTTGTTTTGTTTTAATCATGAATGGGCGTTGGATTTTGTCAAAAGTTTTTTCTTCATCTATTGATATAAACGTGTAATTTTTTTCTTCTATATTCCATTGCTGCAATGAGTCACATTCAGCAATTTTTGAATGGTATTGAGTTTTGTTTTGTTTTTTTCTTTGAGGCTGAGTCTCACTTTGTCACCCTGGGTAGAATGCCACAACATCATAGCTCACAGCAACCTTAAACTCTGGGGCTCAAACCATCCTCTTGCTTCAGCCTCCCAGGTAGCTGGGGCATTGAGTTTTTTTGTTTTTGTTTTTGTTTTTGTTTTTAGAGACAGAGTTTCACTTTGTCACTCTCGGTAGAGTGCTGTGGCATCACAGCTCACAACAACCTCCAGCTCTTGGGCTTAGGCGATTCTCTTGACTCAGCCTCCCTGGGTAGCTGGGACTGTAGGTGCCTGCCACAACGCCTGGCTATTTTTTTGTTGCAATTTGGCTGGAGCTGGGTTTGAACCCCCCACCCTTGGTATATGGAGCTGGTGCCCTACTCACCAAGCCACAGGCACTGCCTGGCATTGAGATTTTTAAAGGATCATTTTGGCTTCTGTGAAGAAAAGAGATGGTGGTATGGTAAGAGTGAGAAAACAAGAGGGGAGTTAGAGAGATGACTTCTAAAATGCCCAGGGAAGTCCCAGTGGGAGATGAAGATACTAACCAGGCACTCGAACTAAGAAATGTTGCAAGTAGGAAGATGTGATGTGACTTTTCTGTGTGGGTTATTCAGGAAGAGCAGAGGAGTCAACAGCATCTTTAGGTCCAGCTCAGCAGTTGTGTGGATGGTGCTTCTGGGAGGCCACAGAGTACTACGTAATGGGGGCCTACAGCAGGAGCACATAGAGTAGTGGGTGGAGGGAGCAGATGACCTAGGCCACAGGGTCAGCTTGAAGACACCACAGTGAAGACTGGTTTTGAGGTCAACACTCTGAAGAAGCTGCTTGTGAAAGATGTTGAAGAAACAGGGCTAGCAGAAAATAACATTGTTCCTGGGGAGATTCTGTTGTGAGAAATCCCTGAGTAGGCTTGATGCTGGTGGGAACCATGAATTAGAGACCAAGTTTAAGATGCAAACTCATGAAAGTAGTTTTCTTTTATATGTGCGTGTGTTTTCCAACTTTGAAACCCATTTTCCTGGTCCCACTGGAGAAACATCAAAATTTAATGTCTTCAATCTGTCCTCAAAACTCTATAAACTTCCATTGAGCATCTGCTTCTACAACCCCAACAAAATCACTGTTATCAAGATCACTGATGGCCTGCCCTTGTCAAATTTAACTGTCCATTATTCAAAGCCCTGTCGTCATTATTTAGACAGATGCCTCTTTTCTGATTGGGCTTTGGGGCTGCTCTAAGTCCCTGGCTTCCTCCCTGGCCGTGCCTCTGCAGGCTAGTGAAGGGGGCTTCCTCATCTCCTGACTTCCCACAATCAAAGCTCCTCAGGACTCTGTCCTCAGACTACTTTTCTAACTGTGCCCACTCCCTTATGGCCTCATACATTTAAGCATCTTATGAGCAAAGTTAACGTGTCTGAAGCTGCGCAGCCAACAAAGATCCCCCTTCCTCCAACCAGGGTCTTCACCTCATCACTGAAACTCTAGCCTTCCAGTTTCCAGACCAAAAGCCGAGGAGCTTACCAGGTACAGTAACTCTCACCTGTAATCCCAGCACTCTCGGAGGCAAGGAAAGAGGATCACTTGAGCTCAGGAGTTCAAGTTTAAACTTGCCTGATCAAGAGTGAAACATACTAAAAATAGAAAAACTAGCCAAGTATGGTTGCTCACACCTGTAGCCCTATGCCTCTTCCCACTGGCATCTACTTCCAGCACAGGGCTAAACACCTTCTTAAAATGCATATCAGATTATCTCTCTTATGCTCAAAACTTGGCTAATGATTTTCCATCCTTGGACAACTGAATGTTAACAGCTGTCCAAAGGAGCTGCCTGGTACAGAGCCTCCCTCCCTCCTCACCTCACCGATCCCTCATACTGGCCTCTGACTTTTCTCCAACTGGAGGACCACTGCACTGAGCTCCCTGCCCAGACACCAACACACCTGTGCTCAAAGACCCACCAAAGAGGCCCCTGCCAAGGGCATCACTCTTCCCTTTTATTTTTCTCCAAAGCACCCCTGTGTAATGTCCTCGTTACTGCGCTTTGTCTCCCTCCTCTCCTCAGACCACCCATGGACTGGGGAACAATGGAGACACGCACCGCACAGGTGCGTGTATGAAAAAATGAATTCAAAGAAGAGGAGGGTCCTGGCACCAGGGGATGTGGGAGCAGGGAGCAACAGGAAGAGCACGGGCGTCAGGAAAGACGGGAGTGGAGGGACCTTGGGGCGGCGTAGTCTATGGCACTCTGAGAGTCCCACAGAGCACTTATCCCAGGGAGGAGGGCAGCCCTGGGAGGAGAGAGCGCGGTCCAGGGAGGTGGCGCACTAGCTAGCTGGCCCGCCGCAGGCGCGTGGGCGCCGGGGGGGAAAGGTGAGAGCAGTCCTCCCTCCAGCCTCCTGGTCTCTTTGCCAGAGCGTCCTTTCCAGTGCTCTCATTCTGAGCTCTGCTAGTGCCAGAAACCCGAGCCACTAGCCCTCCTGACCAGCGCTCAAGACTCAGTCTGGTGGCCTGGGCAACAGCAGTCCGTACGCATGCTCCGCCGCGCGGCTCCCAGAGGTGGAGTTTGAAGGCTGTGGGGAACGCCCACATTCTGTGTATTAGCCAATGTACGGCAGTATGAAAGCTGATTGACAGTCACCGGCAGGAGCCCTGGATCTGGATTGGATACTCCTGCATCGGTGGGCGGGCCCATGCTGGCGGAATCCGGAAGCGCAAGGCGCGTAGGTCCCGCCCTCACGTAGGCAGGGTCCCGGCATGGAGGCGCGCAGGAGCCACGGTAGGGGCGGGCGGCGGAGGCCGGGCGGGGGCGAAGGGGATGCCGGCACAGACAGCTCTCGGCTCTAGGCCCAATACTGATTGCAGACCCGACTCTATACTCCATCCTGCCCCCCTCCAAACCCCACCCTGGACCCCGGCCAACTCAGTCCAGATCCCACCCCATACCCATCCCATCTCCCCTCAAACCCTACCCCAGACCTCGGCCCATCTCCCTCCAGACCCCACCTCTTACCCTGGCCCACTTTCTCCAGACCTCGCCTCCCTCCATACCTCACTCCATATCAAGGCCCACTTCCTTCCAGACCACACCACCACCCCCCATGCCCCAGCCGACCTCCTTTCACACCCAGGCCCACCTCCCCACACAAGGGCCTGGAGACCTGGCTGTGGTCTCGCTGAGCACCTCGCGTGAGTGGTGGGGAGTGTGCCGCTTTGAGGGGTCCCAGGCTCCCTCTGTGGTGGGCCTGCCGCCAACAACCTCCCCAGAGAGATCAGCAGGAACCTCTGAGCTCAGACCTGTCTGAGAAGTGAAGATAAGGCTGTTTACTGCAGCGTCCCTAAGTTTTGAGCGCAGGCTACTACTGTCTATTAAGTGCCCCGGTGGTGTTTCAAATCAGTCCCAAAGACAGGAAAACAGGCTGACATGGTTAGTTTGGCTGTGCCTTGGAGTGAGGGCTTAAGTCTGCTGTGAACCCCGGCCCAACCCATCACCCTGTAGTCGTCCTGTAGTAAAAAAGGAGCTTTACTTTCACAGTGTTTAAAACTGATAATCATCTTGGTTTTGCCCTTTGAAATAAAAAGCCAGTGGCAACTATAGTTTAACATGACCTACCAGTTTTTAAACAGTCAGATGGTAGGCTCTACAGTGGACATTAACTATTTTAGTGAGTAGTAGAACAAACCCTAGCCCTAACCCTAACTACCTTGTGTACAGCCCTCCTTGTGTACAGGCTTGGGGCCTGTTAATTCAAGTTCAGTGAGCTGTTGCAGCGACCATTCCTGACTTCTTGGTGGGGGATTCTTTCTGTTGCAAGTTTTGTCTCTTAGACCTACCACATCCCTTCAAATGCTTGTAACTCTTCTGAGACTGAAATTAAATGCTCTTTCCTATGCAAGAAACCATTATATCATCTGTAGCGTACCTGGTTAATGTTAAAAAATCTTTCTTAACTCACTGAATTAAAATGAATGAAGGTTTTGGATTGTTTCAGCCACTAGTCATTTTCTCTTGAAACTTCCTCCTTTTCCTATTGGCCATGTGACAGAATTGTCAAGTAAACTTTAGGTTGTTTGAAGGCATTGCGTTTGGAAAGGTGGATTAATAAATCCTGGCAGTATGCCATATCGGTTTCGGTGTGTCTTCTGCAAGGTCACTTGCCCAGCAGGAGCACTGGGATCTGAGGAAGGTTGAGGGAGGTATTAACTGTAATAAAATTCTCTGCACTTATACTCTGTTAGTGCCTGAACCAGAGCAGCATTCATCTTCAGGAGTCTCCTGCCAGTGGCTTGTGATGCATGGTGTATGGGGGAACATGGTCAGGTCTGCACTGACGCTCTTCTCACAGTCTGGCTGTGCCCTGGGATAGGGGTGAGGGCAGCAATCAGGTCCCAGAGTAGTGGGAGAGGCCATGCTCTGTCATTGCCAAGCAGCAGAGGCATGCCTTCCCCAGAGCAGACCGTATGCTAAACTCTGGCCAGCTGTCCCTCCTTCAGCAGCTGGTGTTCGTGTGATGTCTGCTTGGATGCTCTGGGGTAGCTAGAGGCCCAGCAGTGTGAGAGGGGCTGCCGGTAAGTGGGAAGCAGCAATTCCAAGGGTGATTGGTTGGTTTTTCCTTAAAGTAGGTTGTTTCTGCTGCATAATGTAGCCTATTTGACAGTTTCCTTATAACAGTTTGTAGCAAAGTTCTGAAGGATTAATAGGAAGAATGTTTTTCCTTTGACGCAACACTACTTGAGTAAAAAATTTTTTAAATATGCTCTATTTTACACTGGAAAAAAGCAGTACTAGAGGCGTCTCTTAGGCCATGCTTTGCAAGCATTCATATTGGTGTGTCTGTGTGTGCGTGTGTGTGCGTGTGCATGTATGTGTGTGTGCTGTGTGAATACTCATGTGTGGGTGTTTTTGTGCACGTGCTGCCCAGTTGGACCCTCCAGCCTGCCTCCAGTGCTCCACTTGGATCTCACTGCAGGTGCTGGTTTGGATACACTTCAGTTGGGAAGAGACCTGTCTTTCCTCCTTTCAGAGCCATGTTCGTGGGTGCACGGTGCCTCTGCGGGCACAGAGCTTTTGGCTGGTCACACCTGTGGGGTCCCATACAGTTGGACCGGTGCCGTCTCCTCAGCACATGGGTTGCTGCGGTGGTCTGCTCCTAGGTATAACAGGCCCCTCCTTCTGGAATAGGAGTCAGATCACACATTTTCTTTGAGAGATCTATGAGGGCTGGAAATGCGCTCCAGAAGTATCTCCTGAATGAACAAATGAATGAGTGAAGAAACCATTGTGGACAGAGGGAGTCTCTCCAGTACTGGCAAGGCCAGAGCAGCCATTGTCATTCCTCCTTTGAGGGAGTTCAGGGTGGGGGTGGGAGGTGCACTAGGCCCTGGGCAGGTCAGGGCCAGTGTCTGTAGGAAGCCAGCCAGCGTATGCTATACAGGGTGGGAAGGGGATGAAAGGGACCGGTGGGGACTTCCAGGAGCAGAGCTCAGTGGTGCTTGGGGCCCCTGCACGTCTGGCAGGAGTTAGGGTTAGTGATGGTGACAGAGGAGAGCAAGAACAGAGCCCAGAAGAGGCCAGAGATGGCCCCAAGAAGGTCTGTCCCTAGCTGCCTGTGGCCCAGTGTGTGGGAGGCCTTGCTCTAGTGCTGGACGGCCACCAAGGTCATGCCCCATGACCCCAGCACCCCATCTGCGAAGTGGGGCAACAGTGCTATGCGCTGTGGGCTCAGTCATGCATGAGGAGCTGCTTACTGGCTCTTGTCACTGGCCATCACTGCGTGCAGGAAAAGCCTTGGGAGCTGGGAGGCATCTGCCTGTGAGAAGAGAACAGCCTGGGGCTCCATGGGCAGCGGGTGGGCCTGTGTCAAGGTCTAGAGAAGCACAGGCCTGTCTGAGATCCAGCAGGATGAGGGACCACTGGGCAGCTCAGAGGAGGGAGGGCAGTGCTGTTAGCAAAGTTGCTTCCTCAGGTTCTGGGTAAGGCCATAGGTACAAGGCATCCTTGGGTCCTGTGTCACTTTGAGTCTGAAAGCCTATGCGTGCAGATGGTTTGGGTCCTGTTCCTGGAAGCCTTTGCAGAGCAGAAGTTGTTTGAGTTGACTCCAAGACCTGTCTAATGAAAAAACAGGTGTCAGGGAACCTGGAAGAGCTTCACAGAGCCAGTCCCCAAACAGCGTCTGGCTGCACCACGGAGTGTCAGCGCAACCCCACAAGTGAGAGTGCTGGGCAGTTTGCCGGGGCCCCCACTGTGGCTAGCAGCAGGCCAGACCCTGGACATGCCTGCTCCCTCCTCTGCTGGAGTTGTTTCCAACCCTAATAACTAGGCAACAGTCCCCCCAACACAGAATTTTTATGACTGGTTAGTGATATGATGAGTGTACCTAGAAAACTCCACAAGGAAAAACATCAAAGTTGTTTGGAGTATTTTATTTCTTCTCTTTTATTTTTAGACAGGGTCTCGCTCTGTAGCCCAGGCTGGAGTGCAGTGACCTGATCATGGCTCACTGTAACCTCCAACTTGCACGCTCTAGTAATCCTACTGTCACGACCTCTTAGAGTGTTGGGATGACAGGCACCCCCATACCTGGCTTGCTTCTTTTTTTCAAGTTTTGGTAGAAAGCGATTATTCAGTGTATTTCTCTTATGTGAGGATACAATGTCTGACTGGTCATGGTTTAAGACTCTAAAGGTAGCCCATCTTTGGTCTTACTTGGAGTACCGTTTTTCTTTTAACTAATATTCTAGAAAGCTTGCCAACTCTTGCTTAAATCTTAGCTAATAATTTTTCCATTTACAATTCTATTACAAAACTCATTAAGAATCTGTCATTCATTGAATTAACATACTATATACCAAACTTCTTCCTTGTGAAGTGAAAAAATGCTCTTATAAATGTATTTCTTTATCTCAAGATTATGAGCAAAGTTTTGACATCTTGTCTCATTATAGGGGTAAAACGACAAAAAAAAATAACAACAACCAGCTATTATCATTTTCAAGAAACCTGTGAATAGTCCAGCATATGTTCAGAAGGCATTTCAGCATGGTTTTTACTGAAAAGAGAAACTTTTAAATATCAGATTTCTAAAAAATATAATAACCTTAAGAAAATTTAAATTTAAAGTGCCTGATATGGCTCGGTGCCTGTGGCTCAAGTGGCTAGGGCACCAGCCACATACATCTAAGGTGGTGGGTTGCCTGCCAAACAACAATGACGGCTGCAACCAAAAAATAGCTGGGCGTTGTGGTGGGCACCTGTGGTCCCCTCTACTTGGGAGGC